ACTGAGACAATGAAAACCTTGAACAAACCATCCCAAATGACTGCGTTGAGCGTCTGCCCCCTGGTGGTCAGTATGCATCATAGAGGGCAGTCCTTCCACCATTCAGTCATTTGCATATTAGGGTTTTATTGTATAGGATACTTGGCATGAAGCACAAACAGGCAACTCATCTAGTCTGAGCACCCCACCCATTGGGGTTGTAAGGGTTATCTATCTTTTTGTTGCAAGTTTCAAGGTACCCCTTGCCTGGTATTGGGGTTAGCATGCAGGGTTTCAAGCTCCCCTTTGTCATAACTGTTGATAATCTTGTCTTAGTAGGTCTCAGGACTACTTGGGGGTGATAATATGCACCCTGTCCTGCCTCAGTATCTACCTATCCTACCTAACAATCCAGTTTCTCCTCTTTCCTTCTTAATCAGAGGTAGGCAAGAGTAGGAAGGAAACATTCTATTTTCAAAGAATGTTTTTGCTTTATGTTCTTGGACTCTAAAATGGTCTTGGTACAAATATCTTATTTTTGGTATAAAATTGGTGAGTGAGTGTGTGTGCGCATGTGCGTACACACACACACACACACACACACACACGGGAAATATGCTTTGTTCCAGGCATAATGCTTCTCTTACCCATAACTCAATTTAAAAATAAATCTCATGGTCTTCCAGCTGTCCCATCTAACAGCGCCATCATTTCTGGATGTTTCTGTTCAAACACTCAGAATTCTCAGAAATAGGTTGTTCCCACCTTGATGAACGCTGGTCTTACATATTTCTAGGAGAGAGAACATGAATTTCACCACATGTCTTTAGATTTGCACATGCTGGCTTCACAGGCCACCCATGTGAGTCTACAAAGAAGGGACATATGGACCTTTGGGGGACCCTTTATTACATAAGCATGTTTACACCAACGCGCCTCTCCTCCCCTCCCAGCCGCTGGGAAGGTCACGTGGGGAAAAGGCACAGGGGGGAGGGGAGGACATGGGAGGACATCATAACTGAGAGCCTGAGAGGAAGCAGTTCTCTGTGCCCGTTCTGTTGATGGACATGGACTAACAATGGGCTGTAGGGAGCAGAAACGGAAGCAATTAAAATCTAGGGTGTCTGAAGAGTAACCTGCAGTCTCTGCTCCTATAACAGGCTGCCATTACACATGCCCGAATAGCAAATATTTGCCCCATCATTAGTGCTCCCTTAACATGTGATGTTAGAATGGCATGATTTCTATAGTCACCTTGGACCAGCTATTGTCCTTTGTGGGAATGAAGTAGTTAAGGATCCCTTGGTTCTCCTGCTTTAATTCACTACCTAAAAAAAGTAAATATATTACACATAGGTGAGTAATCTTACAGATTTAATTTAAAATTGCCAAGATATTGCTACATTTATTAGTTATATATAATAGAACTATGAATAGATGCCGTTATAACAAAGGCGGTATGATCAAATAGCCTCTCTCTCTGACTTACATGACATGGTTCATTCCTCTCAGCAGATTTGTTCCTGAAGAAATAGCCTTATTATGTGAGGTTTATAATAATTAAGGCTGGCTTGCCATCACACACACACAAAATATCAGCTCACATGCCCAGTGAATGAAACCAAGCCTTCAGAAATTCTAAGGTTATCACTAGTAGACTTTATTTTTAAACATGTGCTGAGCATCTGCGCTGGGAGGATGTTCCGTCTGCCTGTGTGAGGAGGAGAGTGTTGTACAGTGTGTTTGCTGGGGAGGAGAGCAGGACAAGTACGCCTGGCTACGATTACACACCATGTGAGAGGGGCCACCATTCAAGTACACCACCCACATGAGGCTGTATTGTTTCTTTTTTTAAAAAATATATTTTATTGATTTTTTACAGAGAGGAAGGGAGAGAGATAGTCAGAAACATCGATGAGAGAGAAACATCGATAAGCTGCCTCCTGCGCATCCCCCACTGGGGAAGTGCCGCAACCCAGGTACATGGCCTTGATCGGAACCGAACCCGGGACCCTTCAGTCTGCAGGCCGACGCTCCATCCACTGAGCCAAACCGGTTTCGGCTGTATTGTTTCTTTTACAGGTAAGAAACCATTTCTAATTTAGAACGAACTGAGATATTTACACTTAATGCATATTTGCAGATTACTGCAAATTGGATTAACTGGAATAAAAATGTATTAAAGTAAAAAAAAATACATGTTTACAATGATGTGTGGCTTTTCTTAATAAGAATTTTAACACATGTATTATCTCCATGATCACATAAAGCTCTGTTTTTGCCTGTTGAAATACTTCCGCTAGCTTAATGAGTTATTCAAAGCAAACACTGATGAAACTACCTCATTTACGTCAAGTAATAGTAACTCAGATAGTTCCATGTGCCACTTCCCAGCCTCTGGCCCCCATAAAAAATACCAATGCCGCCACTAGTATTGTGGACATTTCTTTTTTAGTGTCTTCTTATCTATGCATGCGCCCCTAAAAATTTAGGCAGAGTTTTCCTACTTTTGAACCTTATGTGAATGGAGTCATGTAGGATACATTCTTTCTGCTTCTTTCACTCAGTTTTTGTAAGATTCATTTATGTGATTGCATCTTGCTACAATTCATTTATTTTCCTTTCTAAACTATAATCTGGCTTCTAAATATTCCACAATGTATTTTCCATTTAGCCACTGAAACTACAGTGGGGCCTTGATTTAAGAGTGTCCTGAATAACGAGTTTTTCCAGGATACAAGCCATCTCTCGGCCGATTTTTTGCTTTGAGTTGACAGAGTAATTTGAGTTAACGAGCTCCGTCACAGAACGAACTAAACTTGTAAGTCAAGGCCCCACTGTATAAGAATATTAATCTCCAAAAAGACTGAGGTCTTTTTCTGATGTTTCCTTGTCTGCTTTTGTTTGGAATGTATTTCTTTGTTTCCTTATTCTGCTTGTCTGTGCTTATTTCTATGTATTAGGAAAACAGTGACATCTTTCATTCTTGAAGGAATAGCCTTGTATAGGAGATAAACCTTATCACTCAACCTTGCCCTAGCTTTTGATTGTCTCTTCAACCTTTGTGATTATTTTAGTAGCCTGATTTATTATTTTTTTAAATACGTCTTTATTGATTTCAGAAAGGAAGGGAAAGGAAGAGAGAGGTAGAAACATCAGAGATGAGAGGGAATCATTGATCGGCTGCCTCCTGCATGCCCCCTACTGGGGATCGAGCCTGCAATCTGGGCATGTGCCCTGACCAGGAATCAAACTGTGACCTCCTGGTTCATAGGTTGATGCTCAACCACTGAGCAACACCAGCCGGGCCTGATTTATTCTCAATAGGTCTCAGGTGATCCTAAGCTGCACCTAGTTCCAGGCTGGGTGGAAGCCAGATCCTCAGGCAGCGGCTTTTAAAGTTGCAAATACAGTCCGGTGGGGCTGCCATTGTAAACGCTGCTGACCTCTAGACCAGGAAATCTGGAAGTGACTCCTGGGTGACAGCTGCAAAATATCGGCTTCCGATGAGTGTGTAAGTTCCTTTCTGGGAGAAACTAGTGAGCTGTGGTGAGGCCCCAGGATGGCGTCTCCTTCCCTCATTCCCTAAGCACCTCTATAGCCTCCTGATGTGTGGCAAACCTGAAGCCTGACCTCAGGTTTGAGCTCCAGGAGAACTAAGGAATCTTTTTCGTAGGCAGGCTGGGGGTTTTTTGGGGGGGGGGGGGGGGGGTGTCAGTGCGCTTCTGTGCAGTGCATTGGGTGCGGTCACCAGCTAGGGGCCCGGGAACACAAGCTCCTCTGGTCACAAGGGCAGTGTGATCAAGGGAGGTCCCTGTGTGGACTGAACTCCCAGATTTAGTGCGGCTGAAGAAAGGTGCCCACAGCCTTACCGATGCAGAGGAGGAGCGCCCGAAGAGGGACATGCCTGGCCTGCTTGCTCACCTGGGCTAGCGACAAAGTGGCAGCTTTCAGCACCTCCACTACCCAAGAAAATCTCAGCTGGCCCCTGACCTCACAGTGGTTCTCAACCTTCTGGTCCCTTAATACAGTTCCTCATGTTGTGGTGACCCCCAACCATAAAATTATTTTTGTTTCTACTTCATCGCTGTAATGTTGCTACTGTTATGAATCGTAATGGAAATATCTGATATGCAGGATGGTCTTAGGCGACCCGTGTGAAAGGGTCGTTCGACCGCCAAATGGTCAGGACCACAGGTTGAGAACTGCTGCTAGTAGATGCTTTAAGATTGGGAAATGGCAATAATTCCTTTTTTACTGCAGCGTAGTATTCCATTGTGTAGATATACCACCATTTTTTAATCCACTCATCTGCTGATGGGCACTTAGGCTGTTTCCAAATCTTAGCTATGGTGAATTGTGCTGCTATGAACATAGGGTTGCATATATCCTTTCTGATTGGTGTTTCTAGCTTCTTGGGATATATTCCTAGAGAATTTCTTGGATGATTAGTGACTTTGAGCATGTTTTCATATGTCTTTTGGCCTTCTGTATGTCCTCTTTTGAAAAGTGTCTATTTAGGTTTTGCCCATTTTTGATTGGATTGTTTATCTTCCTTTTGTTAAGTTGTATGAGTTCTCTGCCAATTTTGGAGATTAAAGCCTTATCTGAGATAGCATTGACAAATATGTTCCCCCATGAAGTGGGCTTTCTTGTTTTGTTGATGGTTTCTTTTGCTTTTTATTTTGATGCAGTCTCATTTGTTTATTTTCTCCTTAGTTTCCATTGTCCTAAGAGCTCTATCAGTAAAGATATTGCTTCGACATATGTCTGATATTTTGCTGCGTATGGATTCTTCTAAGATTTTTATGGTTTCCCATCTTACATTTAAGTCCTTTATCCATTTTGAGTTTATTTTTGTGTATGGTGTAAGTTGGGGGTCTAGTTTCATTTTTTTTTGTATGTTTCTGTCCGATTTCCCCAACACCATTTATTGAAGAGGCTGTCTTGACTCCATTGTATGATCATACCTCCTTTGTCAAATACTAATTGAGCATAATGGTTTGGGTCGATTTCTAGGTTCTCTGCTCTATTCTATTCATTGGTCTATATGTCTTAGGCCAGTACCAGGCAGTTTTGAGAACAGTGGCTTTGTAATATAGCTTGATATCTGGTAATGTGATCCCACCAACTTTGTTCTTCTTTCTCAGGATTGCTGAGGCTATTTGGGGTCTTTTTTTATTCCAGACGAATTTTTGGAGAGTTTGTTCTCAGTCTGTGAAATATGCCATTATTATTTTAATGGAGATTGCATTGAATCTGTAGATTCCTTTGGGTAGTATGGGCATTTTAATAATGTTGATTCTACCAATCCACGTACACGGCATATTCTACCATTTGTTTATATCTTTCTCTATCTTTTTTATCAATGTCCTGCAGTTTTCTGAGTACAGGTCTTTTACCTCCTTAGTTAAATTTATTCCTTGGTATCTTAATTTTTTTGTTGTAATGATAAAGGGAATTTTTTTAGTTTCTCTTTCTGTGAGTTCATTATTGGTGTATAAAAGCCATAGATTTCTAGTTGTTAATTTTGTATCCTGCTACATTGCCAAATTCTTTTATTAAGTCTAAAAGTTTTTTGATGGAGTGTTTGGGTTTTTTATGTGAATGATGACAGTTTTATTTCTTCTTTTCCAATTTGGATGCCTTTTATTTCTTCTTTTCTGATCACTATGGCTAGCACTTCCAGTACTATGTGGAACAGGAGTGGTGAAAGTGGGCATCCCTGTCTTGTTCCTGTTTTTAGGGGAAATGGTTTTAGTTTTTGCCCATTGAGTATGATGTTGGCTTTAGAGCATTATGCTAAGCAAAATAAGCCAGGTGGAGAAAGTTTAATATCACATGATCTCACTCATTTGGGGTAATATATTGAATAACATAAACTGATGAACAAAAATAGAGCCAGAGGGAAAAAAATATTCTAGAATATAATAGAAGTAATCCTGTTATTTGTAGTTTTTTTATATTTCCTATATTTAAAATAATTTTTCTTGAAATATTAAAAATAATAAAATAAAAAAGGTAAATAAATAAAATAAAGATATTTTAACTAAAAAAATAAATAAGAGTACCTACCAAATAGAATTGAAATGGGTATTAAATATGTTCATATTGATAAAGCATTTAGTGCCTGACGCATACTGTTATCCTAATATTAATTAAATGATAAATCTTCTTAAATCTTCTTTGTTAAGTTCCCAAGATAAAACTCTTGACACGTGGATATAGTTGTTCAGAGAATGGACACATTTTTATGCTACTGTCCAAGCCTCATATCAGCAAGTGTAATCATTTTATGGTGTTAGAGGAATGTGAAGGAGCCCACAGA